ATCAATATTTTTTCCCTCGTCTTTAGAAGTTTTTAAGTCTGTAAAAAAGAAGTTTTTGAGGAAGAAGAAGAAGTATTATTTATTTATTTTTTTTTTTTTAGACTTTAGAAACTCAGAAGCTGATCAAATATCGGGTTAAATATCGGTGGGGTGGCCGATGTCCGATATTAACAGATCATCTCCTTGTGATGGCTGCATGTGCAACCACACAACAAATGGTCCGGTAATTCTTTCATTAAATCTTCTATTTTATTGTACTGTATTTCATGTTTTTCTACTTTGATTTGGCATTGGTTAACTATTTAAGTGCTCACATTTAGTCGACTCATTTTGTCATTTCTTGCTGTTTGGTTTTCTGTACATTAATATATTTTTCATTTGCGTTTCATTGAGTTCCTGGGAGGCTGTCATGAGTGAAGCCAGTAAAGGAAAGGAGGCCCCAGCTGCAAAGCATCTCCTCATTGACATGGAGGCCTAGTTGGACTCTTCCACTTGCTTTTAGAAGGGGTGTAGAAAGGGTTTAGGTTTCTGTATTTGGTTTTGTTTTCTATAACAACACTTGGAAAATTTAATATTTAAATCCTCTTCTTCATAGGTTGCTGATTTAATATGATGTTGATTAGTTTTGTCTTTTGTTGTATTTTTGTTTAGGAAAATGTATTTTATGTTTCCCTCTTGTTTTAAAATGGTCTGATCAACCAGTATATATACGGTATGTTTCCTTTGTGTGTCAGTTAGGGAGGCCTTTTCTTGTGTCAGGTTTGGATTATGCTGATTTTTGTCATTTGTTTTCCTTGATGGGTCCAGTCTTGTTTGAACTTTTGAACTTTATTTTTGCAAAATAAATTTGTTACCATTTTTTTCATCAATAACTTCCCTGTGCTTCCCTGATTTTATGGCTCGGTCCCTCACACTCCTCTTCACTGGTCCATTTCCACCAATAGAAACGCATCTTCGCTCCAGAGGATTTACCATTTAAAGTTTTATTCATAAGTTGATATAAAAGCTTTATTTGATTAACCTTCTCATGCAGGAATTATGATAAACTCAAGATTTTTCTTACATCCACAGGAACGTAAAACAAGGTTTAAAAAAATATAAAAAAATCTCTCTTTATTCTATGAAGAAATATTTATATGTCCACTCCAGTGCACTTTATGCATTTTATAATATAAATTAAAAACATCAATATAACAACAAAGTAGCTGCATAGATAAAGTTATAATGTGGTATTCTGTTGGAACGGAGGTTCCTTTGTATTTAGAAACCAAAATAGCCGAGATGTTTGGTCTTTTACCTCCCCGTCTGTCAGCCAT